GGAGCTGGTTCTGCTAGAGGCCCTGCTTGGGGCCCTGCTAGATTCGCTGTAGCTTATCTGTCCCAGATCTATGGGTATATCTAGGGTCCTAGGGCCCCCTCGATATATCGGTGTTGGTGATGGTGGTGACGGTGGTGGTGGTATCCCGCTCGGGGGTGCCCATCTCGACGCGTTCGGTAGACCACCACCATGGGGGTTTGGGGCCTCCATAGCGGTTCCTGAGGCCTCAGGGGGCCTTTCTCGATCGATTGACGCGTTAAAATGACGTGTTTAGATTGGGTGTTGATTTTGATGTTCCCCCGAATTGATTTTGCTGGCTTAGGATTGTTGGTTATAGATAGATTAATTCTTATATTATATATATATTTTCTCCTGTTATATATATATATAAATTATATATTAATAATATATTGTTATATATAGTATACTACTATATTAATCTACTTATAACTTCTTTATAATAGTTAATAAAAATATATATATTTTTATCTAAGATACTACTGTATTAGAGATAAAATCTATTTTTACTAATAATCTTACTATTAAAATAGTATTCTAGATCTATATAAAAATCTAGAAAAAATCTAGAAAATCGATATTGTAATACCAAGAAAAACCCGCTCGGGTTCCCCGCACCCAGACCGGGTTGGGGCCCTAGAACCCGTAACCCGGAGCGGGTTCAGCCTTCTATCCCCGCCCCCGACCCGGAGCCGGGTTGGGGCGGGTTCGGGTCGGGTCCAGCGGGGAACCCGTGCCACTCTAGTACGGGGAGACCTATCAAAAACCCGACCCGGAGCCGGGTCGGGGGCGGGTCTCAGATTTTGAACCCGAACCCGACCCGCGTGCAACTCTACTCTTTTTTATAATTATATATTTCTTTAGTAATTTTTCTGTATATCTACTAATTTATAATAGATTAGCAAGACTTAAGCTTTATATATAAAGAAATCTTGCTGCTGATTTTAGGTGTATCTTCACAATCTAGCAACATTGTAACAGCTACAGAGAAATCAGGGCGAAGTATATCTAGCTTACCAGCCAACCAGATTGTAACTTTACTTACTGAACCATCTCGAACAACCCAAACCTACTCAGTAATACCTATTGAAAGCGAAGCTAACTTCTGCCAGAGATAACTAAGTAGCTTAAATAAAGATCCTCAATCTAATACACAGCCCCCCAAGTCCATAGTAACAGTATCAGCTAATCACCCTACATCTGCAGATAGTCTGTCCCACAGTGGGATAATAAATACTATATTGGGAGTAGAATTATTCTCTCTATCTGTATATACATATACAGTGAAGTTAGTGATAGTTTTACAGTATAGATTATCCGAATTATCTAACCACAATTCATAATAGAATCGGCGAATTATTTATCAGTAACTACTATTATGGTGCGGTCCGGTCTTTGGTCTTTGCGGTCCTTTCCTAGGCCTAGTCCCATTCAATCCACCACTGCATACCAAGGAGGCGCCCCCTTTCTGAAGAAGCCAGCGGCCAGAAAAGATGTCGCGACAGATCAGTCGAGGCGTCACAGCCTGTACATATATCTAAAATCTATCCCGTCTTAGGGATGCCGCCTCCGTACTCGATAATTACGGTACAGCCACAGTAGTCCTGCTTAGTAATATGAGTAGACAGAGCAACAACGTTGCCTATCGTACAATTATTAATCTATACACAGCTACTGGGACAGATAGAAGAAGTGGCAGTATCGGAAAATATAGGTTTCTACATCGAAGCGTGATTAGATATTTCTGTACACTGACTTGACCATATCCTGCACGGTAGCTGAGCTGAAGATGCTGGTGACCACTGGAGTGGATTGCGTGTCCTGATTCTCAGTAGCCCAATGCTTGTGGCCTGGAATAATTAGTGAATGCTAGTTCCATAACGCTATTTAAAGATCCTGTTTTTCGGTCTTTGATACCTATCCATACAAGACCATGGGCATGGTCTTGAGTGGGGGTTACTGCAGCACAAGATGTTTCGATTTGCACGGCACTGCCACTCGCACGAACATCCATGCTTGGTATCAAATGCTTCAAAATGAGTTCCCCATGATTGCGAGCGATGCCCAGGAGAGCCTCTTCCAACGAGCCGGGTCTCGTTACGTTTTAGCGAAACGACAGAAAAATGGATACTTCAAAGTACCAAGGATAGGACTATAGCAGCACGAACTAGATTGAAAGACCAAACACCTCGTGCCAAAGGTGGGAGACGCGCTGCAACTGCCGAGAATAGGATGTTGAACACCTGAAGAAGCGGCTTCAAGCCAACCTACTAACAAACTTACTAACCCACGAAAATCCGCCACGATACTGACAGATGAGATGACATATACTAAAAGTAAGTATGTACGGGCTCTAAGGAGACACGGCATATATTAGGACATGTACTAGTAGATTACTCATAGTTGCCCTTTTGGCTTAGCCGCCGGGCGTTGATAAATCGTGTGTGTATGTAGTAGTTGCATACCATTAATGGTGGTTGTACTAAGCATCATAATAGTAGCGAACAGCGAATATGTGAAATTTCGAACCTCAAGTGTTCATATGAGAATAAACCCTACTTGGTTCTGAACATTGCTCCTGAAGGCTGCTTGTTTCTGAGCCTTGATAAAAGGTCTGAAGTTCCACAGTCTGAGTAACTCTGATCCCATCGAACAACATATAAGGATCCTCATAAATTTCTGCGCTTTCCCGCTGCTGATGTTGTTTTTCCAATCCCGGATACTGCTCTGTGTAGATAGACAGTTCCGCGGTATTCTGGCGCCGTGACCTTGAGGTATGATCAGTCGGTTTATTTTGGAGAGTGGTTCTTGTTAGAGGATAGCCACTTTCGATCAGAAGTTTTGGCATGTAATAGCTAACTAAGGGACGGAGTGCTGGAGCTGAAGTGACAATCTAAAGCGTTCATACATAAGTCAGTGAATAGAGTATTGGATCAATATCTCATTTCTGCGAGAGGAGACTAGGAAGGCATGTTTTTCGAATCTTACCAACCCAAGACCTATCTCAATGCTTGAGCATATGAATGTAGGAAAACCCAACCAGGTTGAATCGCCTAGTGGGCTCTTGATCGACTGGCAGTAATAGTAAGTACGGAGGGAACCCGCGATGTTGATAAGTACGCCGAGGCCAAAAAGATATCCCACAGCAATCTTCTGTCGTGTCTTCATTTGCAGTTTCCAAATAAGTGTCATGGGGATCAGAGTGCACAAAAGGTCCGTCACTATATTAATAATGCTGACAGAAAAAATGAACGCCCTCCCGTCGATACAGGTGTAGGGATACGTCGGGTTCAGATCCCAGTATGCCTTCAAGGGTCTGGAATACATCTTAGTTTCAGTTCAGGAACATGTCAAAGACCAAAAGAAGCATGGACTGGGAGACTCTCACCGACACTCCAAAAGAAGTATTAGCACAAATACGATAATGCAGCCATACATGATAATTATGGTTCCAGTAATGAACAGATAATGCCAGTTGAAGACCAGCCTCCCAGCATTTCCAAAAAGACGTCTGCAGAAGTACAGCAGCGATAATTTGGTCAATCCTGATGCCACGGCAAATGTTATCTGGAAAGCCAGGTTTAGTTTATTTGTGGTGGGAAGGTCTTCCAACGGAACATCCCAGACATGTCGATCCCACCCATATCGTGCAGACCCAATCCACATAACAACCCACATTGCAACAGCAGCGAGCTATATACATCAGAAATTAATTATATTATGATCAACGGTAGGTGATTATAGTGGCTCTTACCACCGCAAAAAGAAAGCACACATCATCTATGCCAAAGGTAGATGTGATTTTCACTCGTGAATACAAACGGAGGGCCGTAGTAATCAATGCCAGAACCCCAAATATGACATTAGTGATTATGATACCTTGGCCCCGGGTAGGAGGGTTGACATAGTTTGGCTCAGGCCAATTGGCCATGGTTGCTGCAGACCTGCTGTCAGACGTAATTCTGCCTGGACTGCTATGTTAGGAATCTATGACTATATATTTCTTCTTATCCATGCCTACCCCGTACAGAGTTCAGAATGGCTCCTGGACGAAAGAAACTGTTGGAACTTTACGATTCTTGGTTTGAATGTACCGAGGCGAGCCAAGTTGTAGCTAAAGGGACTAGCAAAATTGCCTTGACAAAAAAACCTTATTTCTGGGCCCCGCTGTCAAGGTTGTGAAGTTTAAAAATAGGGCGTCTGTCAATGATACACAATACGAGCCAATAGAGCAGCTATAATACGGTTTATCTATGTTTAATACATGCCAAAACTTGCCGTGGCCCTCAATTTTAAATAGCATACTCAATATTTCTACTGTACTAAAAAGGCTTGGCAGTGGGTCCCAGATATACAAATTGTTTGTTTGTTGGTGAAGGCAATGTTGCTAGTCCCTGTAATTTAGCCATGAAACCCTTTCAAAGCGTAAGTAGACGAAACAACTTTGGTAACGAAGGAAGACAGGTAGCACTGAGGACAACTTAGGCTTCTTTTGAAACGCAACTGTGGAGTAGAGGACGGAAGCGTCGGATCACACGTTCCCTGGAGACGCAGAAGAGATATAATCGCCTTTCTCCTACATCCTTCGCCTGCCCACATTACTGCCGAAGATGAGACGATGGAGGCTATCATTGCTACCACATTTATCCTGTGAGCCAGCCACTGAGCCTCCAGCTGGTCTGTGATAGTGCAGCCATGTTCATGAGATAGTGTCTCCGGGCGATGACCTTCGTGGGGACCCAAAACGCAGATCAAGAGGTGCGATATTGTATCGTATCAGGGTCTCCGTGTAGGGCAGAATAGTCTTCGAATTGAAGTCGTAATTCGTATCAAGAAGATATTAAAAACGTGCGATCAGACCTCTAGCCACGGGTGACAAGCATGGAATATTGTATAATGGTGGAGCTGCAGGGGTCTGAGAGGGGATGTAGCAGCTATGCCAGGGCCATATTCGATTTGCCGACATTGAAAGAGTCCTAACTCCTGTGTCAGATCCTTCGCAAAGTACGGAGGTTTAAAGGGTAGAATTTGCCGTAGGGTAGCATTGAAGATAATCACACGAATGAACTACTTCGGCTCTAAATGGTTTGTACTGGTTGACCCCTGTGATTTTGTTAGTACGGTGGGTTAGGCGGTATCTAATGACTCTCCATACCGCCTCCGTTAAGGGAATAGCTAACCGAAGGGAGAGACACTTGACGCGATTTAAGTGGCTGAGATACAAGCAAAATTCTGGCACAAATCCGTATTTTAACGCCTGCTAGCCTGTCATAAATTGACTACTAACAAAATCACCAGGGTCAACCGGAGTTCATTTGTGGGGGCTCAACCCGGTTTTGCAGGACTAGATCTTGACGGCGCGGAAATTCTGAAACAAGGGGGGGGGTCGGTAGTACTTCACGTTGGTTGCATCTCGTTTCAATGGCAGAGACGATGATTGATGCCAGAATTTGATTTGGAAGTAGGTCATGTTTGAGCTTCACCTTGATGATAAATGGCATTTATCATTGTAGCCTTGCAAAGTATGTGTTGGCAAAGGTTAGGAGAACAGGTAAGGGTAGGTACTTAGAAAGCACCTTGTGCGGGAGCTATACTTGAGAGTCACGCGACTGGACGGAAACCCGAGATGCTAGGTCGATGGTTTTTGACAAATGCCCTTTCGCTTAAGTTGTCAATCAACATAGAAATCCCTCGGTGTAATACAGGCGGACTTGATCTCCATCCTAAATACTAGCTCGTCCAAAAGACCCTCTCCGAAGCTAACTTTTCACTAGTCTTTTGTTCCCTTTCTGTCTGCATGTGGTGGATGTATAGCATAACTATGGTTCGAATGACTAGCTTAGCCATACAACCAGGGACGGACTATTTGTTTGCAGCAGTTTGCTTTTTGATGTTTCCCGCTATATTCAAGATGCTTGCAGTAATCGTAAATTGGTCACTATTAAGTTTCTCTGCGTATTTTCCTTTTCATCAACATCTACATGTAATGGACAGGCAACATGTGAGCTATTCGCATCTCCTGGCCCCATGTCTGCTCAAGCACTTTGCTGTTGTTGTCTTCATGATTGCATCCAAGGCGATCGCTCGGTATTGAAGGCTAGATATACTCAGTGCATCCGGCAGAACCGAGTGGGCCTTTCCCATCAGTTTTACTTTACTCAATTCCCACATCTTTCTCGTTGCAGCAAATCAGCTTCATACTTCAACACCCTGATGCTTGTTTAGCATGCGTGAGATGTTTCTTGATTAATTTGTCACTACTAATCTGTCATACCTTGGTGTTGCACTTAATCTGCGACCAATTAGCTATCTTGATTAGATATGACTTACTCGATGACTAGAATCCACCAGTGATCAACAACGAGAGGTATGGCAGAGATTTGAATGTGAAAAAACAATAAGCGTGTCGCTGCGAGTAATAGTCTAAGGTAGAAAAGCCAGGCCTATTGAGTACATATACCCAATAATTTGTGCGAATGAGTTGACCTGGTACGATCCTTGAATGTAGCTATCAAGCGACAGTTAGTATTGATCACGAAATAAACTAAGTATATGAATGAGTGTTCTTATATCCTTGCCTAGAGTTGATATCGGGTCGGGTTTTTGATAGGCAAACCCGCACCCGCACCGTAAAAACCCGAAAAGCCCTATATTAGGCCTAAATAGGTAATAAACTATTTAGTAATTATATACCATACCTATATAGGTTTGGACTAGAACTCTAATTCGATTTTTAAAGCACTATACCTCTACCAATTTTTAATATATAGATTTAATAATTTACGTAGATATATATATAGTCTAGATCTATATAAAAATATAAGAAAATTCTAGAAAAATCTACATTTTTAAGTCACATGACTTTTGCGGGTTTTTTTGCGGGTTTTCCGGGGAACCCGATCAACTCTATCCTTGCCCTTCTTGCCTTAGTAGTGTTCTTGGTATACTGATATAGCCACGATAAAATATTAAATATAATATCTATAGGAATAGTATTTTAAGTGCCACTGACAAAATATATAATCATAAAAATATAGATTCAAACACAATATATAGAATTGTTTACAATGTACATCTTTTCTATTACTATTATTCAGCGGGAGCGGAAGTGAGATAGCTAACTAACTAGAAAATATAGGCGCTGATGCATTGCGATATATTTTGGATAACGGGAGAACGCAGGAATATCAAAAATGGGCCAATGGTAATGCGCCGTTCTGACTTCAGCCCTTGAAGTCGCATGTACTAGGGTATAGAGATTGCATCACACGAGATTAAGGTAGCCCTAACAAGGATGGCCTTCTAGAAACTGTCTGGACCGGATGGGCTGTCAGTAGTAGGGGTAACAGATATGGCCTTCTACGAAATAATAGTTGATCAAAATCTACTAATTGTTCCTCCTACTTAGCTACTTTTCCCTCCCTTGGAAAGTGGCCCAGATCGTATTGCCGCTTAAAGGAGGACGAGACCCATCTTTACCGAAATCATGTCATCCCATCTTGTCGTTAGCGAGACTTACAAATGCGCTGGACTCAGCGGTTGCCAACCGGCTCTTTGTATAGCGTGGGTGAACATCTGGAAAATTGTTGAAATAGGGTTTAAGAAGTCCCGTTGAGGTATAGCTTTCAGAGGGGGTGGGAAGGACAGCAGCTGCAAGTTGGATGTCAATACGATGATAAATTATGTGGTCAGGTCAGATTGCATGTCCAATCCCTCGAGAGTTTGGTTCTGATCACAAGGTACAAACGCTCACACTAGGCGGACTATTAGATTATCATTGAGTAATCGATGTAACCTTGAGCAATGTGCCCCGTAACTTTAGATTAATCTCATCCCTGGATAATGGCCTACATTACTTAAACTCCCTCAGAGCAGGCGCATCGACGAATTAAAATATCCAAGCGTTGTCTTCAAAGACGGCCTGCGTCTCAACAGTTTCAAGAATATTAAGAACATGGATATATTGTACAATCACATATTCGGCACACTAGGGGAATAAAGTATGTAAGACAAAATTACAAATTCCGTCAAAAACACCCCGATCGGATGGTCGAACTATCTATTCAATGGCCAAGATCTGCAATCTGTCTTGCTGTAGGCATGAGCCCCTGACTGGCGTGGTCTTGTTTTGCAACCTGCTGTTACACTCAAGGTTTAGTATATCACTACACGAACCTTAGCCCTTTGGGGAGAGCTAGCCTGCGACTGAAACAGACCTATGGAATCTGTATGGCCGTGCTGGGCGAAAGCTTCCGTCCTAACCTATTGGATTAACACCGTGGCCTAACTGTACTGAAAGCCCCTAATGCAACCTATTCCAACCATTGAAGCGGTTATGGAACAGCTATTAGCGCAATACAGCCTTGGTGGCGCTATACACGTCAGCAAGAACGTGTAATAGAACTTCAAGGCGAAGATTCCACATGTATTTTGTTTTTCAGGCGGGGATTGTTGAATAGCCGAACATCATTGTATAACACGAAACTAAAAGGCTTCTAATTCTATACCTCCATAATCAGAGGCCCTTGAGCATACTATACTATCTTTGAAAGGCTTTGGTAAATCTCGTGTCTGTTTGTCAAAGACCTGCTTTGATACAAGAAGCCTCTCATTCGGCGGACTTGCTCGACGTCCTCACTGTCTCACCTAGCGAGCGTTGCACTAGGGCGGCATACGGAAATGTCTCAGCAGATCATTCCATCCCTCTCTTTAGGCTGGTTTAGAGTTTTAAAGTTGACGCTAGTGTCGCAACGGGGATCGCGTAGCTCGTTCGCCCGATCCGAGCCAGTCGTAATCCCGCAAGATTGGTCCTAAGGTTTGGACCCAAGCTTTGGACCCTAAGCAGCCGCTGACATAGGACTTATGCGTTTAAAATGGAACTTAAAAAGTCTGACAGGAAGAAAGTGAAAGTGACAGCAATATATACAGTATTACATTAGATTATAATCTAATATAGTATTGCATATTACATACGTGATTCGGTACCACAGCCTCATAGATGTATATGTAGGCCCTCGGCGAGTTGTAGGTATCCCAGAGGTACACGAAAAAGAATTCCGTCGAGACATACAGTTACGTATTTCCATCTAACAAACGATGGAGAATAGGGTTAGGCTTTGTTGCATGAGTACGAAGTAAGTTACGTAAACGAGGGTTCTGACAGGTAAAATTCTCCACTTTATTCCGCCAACCCCCTGTACAACAGAGGGTCCTACTGGTTGTGGGGTTAGCGTGAAGTTTCTGCCATTAGAGTTCGAAAAAAAAGGCCAGACTCTGCTCCAAGAAGGCTACAACTTCGATGTTTCCTGCTCCATGATCTCGTAACTGCTAGTCGCGCCGATCCACCGGCTCGACTTCCGCTTTCGAGAAATCCGGCTCGAATTTCCTTTCCACTCTCCGGTGTCTGCGCCCCCAGAACGACGCAGGAAGCAGAATCGCTGATGATCAAGCCCTTTCCAGCACCTCTACTGTAGATGCATTGGGCGGAGCTACAGAGGAGCTATGCAATAGAGGCTCTTCGGTCTCTTCCAGAGGCAGACTAACCCGATACAAAGTACGCAAAATCGCGTATAAAAATACGCGGCAAAAGTGTATTCTTGTTTTACATAGAATATGAAAGTGCGTGGGAATTGGAGGTATGAGGGTCATGGGTCCGTAAATTACGAACTTATAGGGACAGTTACATACGTAAATCTTTATACAATATGGTAAATATTACAGTTATTTATTTCACTTGGCAGGTTTGGGTGTGCGGTCGAAAGCCAACCCGCGTTTTGGTGAGGTCTGCATGGAACAATAGATGCTAGCGCTTTTGCTTGTGTTGAGCTTCAATTGATCTAAAACTATGGCCAACGCACGACTATTAATGGGGTTTTGAACGGAGCTGAAACGATGGCTAATGCACCACGGCTATTAGGGGTTTAAATCAAGTGTGAGCTGAAACAATTCTAATGGGTCACAGCCACTGCATGTCCTAAATGCATTAAGGCATGGTTTTATGTATATAGTTAGATTCTGGCATACAAAGCTCTTAAAGTTTGGGCATATATAAAGTCCCTTTCTTTTCCTATTAAAGTATTGTCTTCCCTTTCGTATCCTGTATAACATGTTATCTCATTCTCTCATTCTTCACAATCCCTTTTCTTTACTTTATTGACTGAAGTTGCTCTTTTGCCCTGCTTACTCTATACTCAACAATATCTCTTTCTACAGTTGTATGGCTTATCCTAGGCACAGCTGGTCTAGCCGCAGCTTATAGATATATCGATTGTATCAATGTTAATAGCAAGTCCTCTGTGGATTCCTGGTCAATAAATACCCCGGTCAACCAAATATCTCTGATCTTATTGTATGGTCAACTGCGGATACTCAGAATATTATGTCTAAGTCTTTGATTACAACTAACTGAATATTATCTGCTACTAGGATACTAAGTCTGGTACCTTTACTGGGAAGATTACTACTGGTAGTAAAATAATATTATACTGGAGTAGATAGTTTAAAGACTACTATAGTCTGGTAAATAATTATAGAAATTAGATAATAACTGAGAGAGAAGTATTTGAATTAAATTAGAATATTAATATAGTATAGATTATTAGCTACGTTATAGACTGTAATTGTCACAGATCCGATGATGACTCTGCATGATGACTGTATCGTATACCCTGCCCGTTGTGCATACACAGCTCGGAGGCCGAACGGCGACGACAGATCACATATCCGTTGACTTTTCAATAGCGTATAGTAGCTCCTTGTCAGTCTTATCTTATTAGGAGAATAAGGGGTTTCTTCTGGATATAAAGTTAGCCTAATATTAATAGAAGAAGGAGGCAAGAATCAGTCTTCTGTCTGCCTAATATCTACTGATTAGCTTTCTGCCTACGTACCCTTACCTAGTTGACAGGTCCTCTACCCTGAATAGTAGATATTTCTTTGACAGTAATAAGAGCTGTACTTCTATAAACAAGACTAAATTTAAATTCTTTAAAATTAAAGAGACTGGTCTTCTTAACAACAGTAAGCCCCCGGAAGATAGGCCAGTAATAAGCTTATAGCTGCTAATAATATCTGGAAAGTCAATATCTCCTCTAATATTGTAGTAGAAAATTATATCTTTTATTACAAGATTATTGTACTACATAACACAATATAAGATAATAGTTTATAAGTTTACCTCCAGTATATAAATCTGAAAATAATAGGGAATGGTACTGCTACACCCAAAGGTATTCCTACCGCCCATTTTTATATACCAACAGATTCCGGCATTCTGGTCGATATTCTCAACAGCCTTCACACGTATGTGATTCCAGGTCCAGCCCTCTACGGTGGTAGGGGTGTGGTACCTTCGAGTACCGCCATTATCCCCACTGGAGCGTCATTCACCGCGGTGTCTTCCACCCGAGCCTAGGCGGTCCCCGCTGCAGCGCCTCAGGGTTGTGGATCTGTCTCTGACCAGAGCTCTCCTCAAATCACATCATCATCCACGGCAACCGACGCCGCTTTGCCATCCCATCCGGGTCAATCTTTGGGTGAAATGCAGACTATTCAAGCTTATGGGGGCGTCCAATCCTGGACGAAAAGATCCTCTGGCCGGGGCAGGAAGCATGCTCGAGATCTCACCGCCTAAGAACATTGTGCGCGAGATACCTTTCGGACAATAATGTGTTGAAAATATACAAAAAGCATTAGTAGAGACCATGTTCTATTTCCTGAAGTTGGACAGCCCAATAGAGTCAAAGCTGAGTTCCATCGTAAAGTTTCCTAGAATGTATTAACCTAAGTAAGGCTGGTGGTAGTAGTCGGGTTAAATCAAGTATATAAAAGATGTTGCAAATCAATCTACTATGAGTTAGCAAAAGCACCCGTGAATTTGCGTCTAGGCCCCTCATCTGTCATGTAGTAATGTTGTCCATACCGCTGAAAAAAAAATTGGCGAGCAGGAAAATAGGATTGACTGTATTGTCTATGGTGTACGGGAGTGGTATATATTGTAGCATGCCTCGCTTGACTAAAGGAACCTCCTCGTGGTTGGTGCATCATGAAATCTGCAAAACCCATACAGCCGATGCCGTCGATGGTTTGACTAGAGTTCATCTCAGATGTGGGTCAGCCCTAAGTATCTCCATGGGTGTAAAATCACTCCCTGCTAAACGCCGATTCATGCGTAGGATATGATGGTACAGTGTTAGCGATACAGAGTGATATGACAGGAAACCCGTAGGGTCGCGAGAGATGATAGGGCTGTCTGAATTACCCGTGTTTCCTGGACAACTGACTAATCTATATCCAGTTGCCGTCCCGTTAGACACTAGGTGGAAGTATACTATAAGGAATAGGCTTCCCCGTTAGCTATCAGGCACCACATGACCATGTGTCCTACGAAAGATCCGTAAATCCGTGACAGGCGCCTCCTTAAAAACCAACGATTCCTATGGTCTTGTTGCCCCACGAACCAGCCGTCTAAAGAAGTAACTGCCAGAGAATCCAGACAAAGCCTCACAGATCTAATTTTAGAGGGCGGAGTGCTTGTCCGAAAGCTTAATGGAGAGGATGGGACCAAGCAGTGGATCAGATTCATAAACGGACTGATCCTTAGGGAATCCAAAATACGTCTAGCTTCTTCCTGCGCGATAAAAAGGTTTTACTCCAGTGGTACCGCGTTCCGTTTCAGATAATTTGACGTCGTTTTTCGACCTATCCAGTTTTAACATTACCTATCACTTCACAGGATTTCCGTATGCATTCATACTGAGCGAACCAATTGGGACGAATTGATTGGTTTGGTTGGTTGAAGAACTATCCAGGGAATCGCTGGTGAGAGCGATTTTGAGTGGTTGTGTGTTACGGCGCGGGTATTGCGAGTTGACCCGGTTTACCGTACAAAAACATATAACTAGTTAGTGGAGTGTGTAGTCGCCGAATCAGCCAGTCGTTGCTGGTAAAATACTACTATTTTGATCGACAATACCTTCTGTTCCATCTTCGGGATCAACTCTAACGCAAGTTGAATCTCCGTAGTACACTGAATCTTCTAGAGTGTGTGAGTCACCCATTCATGAACCTCTTCAGGAGCTAGAGCTGTACTACCTGTGACGATGCGATCCTGGCCGGCCTTATGTTGTGTTGAGTGGCCTAAGATGTGAAGGGCTGAACTCTTCTGCAAAAATCTGATACGGGATCTTGCCTGTTACATAACGTGGGAGATACAGATAAGGGAAAATATCAAGAAGACCACCGGTTAGATAGTTCTCCTCTTCGTTTTTCTCCCTAGACTTGATGCCTTCGTCAAATGTTACAGCATGATTTGATTCCTTTCTCTTGACCGTGACACTTGCAGGCATACCTAACGAAGCACAACTCCAATAATCTGGTGCGTTCTAATATTGACAGGATATTGCGATTTCAATTACAGTAGTGGAAGGACTGGCTCAGGAATACCTCCATAGTATCTCACAAGCATTCATATCACAGGAGTATTTCGCGAACTAAAGCTGCAACAAGATATTTCCTAGGTTCACGTCAATTTGTGAGCTTTCGGGTGCTTGATGTAGGACTGCCCTGACGAAAGCTTCTTGATCGACCGCCTTCACCAGTGCAAGGACCTGTTCCAAAAGGCTTACGCCGGCACAGGCCTTTACTTGCGTTATGTTGCCACGAAAACATCTGTCGCACGGCGGGGAACGATATCATCATGTAGATAAAACCATTCCAAAATCCTTGGAGGGGCAGGACAAAGGCGGAGAGGTAATTGAGAACGAAGCTTGGCTTCGTCGGCTCCGCCAAGGCGTATACCCGATTTATTGTCGACGGCACCTAGTCAGGGTTAGCGGCTACTGTCGCAATATCTGTCTCATCAACCTTGCGCGTACTGGGAAGACGAACCCACGTGATTACCAGAGCTATAAAGTATAACATGGCGTATTTTGAATACGCCCACGCTGCCTTATTTGTCTCGGTTGTGGATTTAGATTGGTCTCCCTGGATAGCTTCATTCTGTTTCATGGTCCTGGGACGAGCTTCGACGGCGACAACATAGGGGTTGAAGCTGGTCCTCGCTCCTGGAGACCTTCCAGGTTCTTCTGTGTTGCCCACCTTTAGTGGTGGCCCATGCTGGAAATCGGCAGTCTCTGTAGTCACCGTGATCTCGGTCATTTTGTGGCATTCGAACGATTCGTCCACCTGGTCTCCGCGGGTCGAAGGAAGAGCGGAGTGTTGGCCGGACCTGCCCGCGACACGCAATTGTCGTCGTTTCATGAAAATCTCGCGACCAGTAACAATATATATCGCGAATGTAAGAATGATAGTGAGCCACACAGGCCCGTAAAATACCGCCAAACGGAGTGCCTCCCAATCTGGGGTTATCCAGCACCACAGCTAGCATACCATGTCAGTCGTAAAACAGCAACTAGCAAGCCCCCATACTCACAACAGCTGAACCATAAATCTTCCCTCTCGCCTCTGATTTGATAAATAGAAATACCACCGCAGGTAAAAAGGGAATACCATAACAGAAGATAAAATATCTCCATTCTAGCCGCTTCAACTGGGAGGCATCGTATTTATGGAACATTGTCAAATACACATTGCACGCCATCGCGAATGTCCAAAAAGCATCAGCCGGCATGAACCTGAATAATAACCATCAGCAATGCAGTCATATATTGCCAAGAGGGACAACGGACCATTGCAAAAGCAGTCCTTGGAATTGACATAGTGGGCTTCCTACGCCTTGTGATATTCCAGATGTGGACACTAAGGTAGCTACATTAGAAATAATATTACCCCACGACGCATAAAATGCAAGCCGGTTGATCGGTTTGTGGAAAGAAGGGAAACAAAAAAAAGTCACAATAATAAATGTAGTCCCCAGAAGAGAAAGAACTGAGCAGGTACGCTCAGTGGCTTGAATAGCAAGAAGCTGGGTATCACTCAGGGCCATGGTGATATTTAGTGATGTTGGGTGGTATTTCTTATCCGTCAGGCATTCATATTCACATTCGGGAATTCTGATCTCCTTTAAAAAGGAAAAGAACAGGGGGAAGGGTTCCCGGATTATTTACTAGGCTATGGTTGTAGCCTTAGGGCCGGCAGAAAAGATGTACATCGAGATGGAATTAAGGTTACAAGTTGAAGTATGCGCGAGCCTGATGTGCATCTGCAAGTGATTAAGTTTCTGTGCACGGAGTACTAGAGGGAAAATCCATATCTTAGGGTTTCATGGAACACAAACAGTATGGATACTAATACGAATAGCTAATAACTACAGAAGGTTCACTAGGCGAAACCTACCGCCGAAATTACGTACGTGGAGGCGAAAACTAACACCCAACAGATTACCCCTGAAACTTTGGAGTCACGGGAGAATTACGTCTTATTCTACCTCTCCAGTTCGGTGGGTGACAATTCTGCGTTCCTCCTTGTATATCCAGCAGGAACTGAGTAAATATCAGTTGTGCTGAGAGCATGAACTTTGATTGTGTAACTCGGAATTCTTGAAGGTCTGGACGGTGAAAGTTTACTGTGGAATCGATTGTGCAAATCTTTCAGGGGAAGTGCTGGGGTGAGTGATTTGTCGTGTTCTGGTTGCCGAAGGCTTTGGTGATGTTGGTACGGATGGTGGGTATGGCTGTTGAGGAAGAAGGCGTGTGTTGATTGATGGTGGCTCGGATGATTCAGTGGTGGTTCCGTCGGTGGGTGGTCGGTAGCATAAAGGGATTTTCAATATAAGAAAATAAAGCAATTCGAATTATTACTACTAAATATCTGTAAATCAATAAAATAAAGTGAATTGTCTGATTTCTCTACCACTCCTATATTTGAAGCTGTAGATTTATTTTCTAGATAGGGCGCTGGTGGTGGATAACTGTATATTTCTAAATACATCTTATTCGCCGCTTTCATATTCGTTTAATTATCTTTGGCCTTTCTGTCTGTGTTAGACTGATTTGTATTCTTTATATCTAGTATACAGAGCCTAAAGATATATAAGAATACTTATATATTTAGATCAGTTTTTTGTAATCAATTATATATTATTACTACAGAGTATTTTTAAGTATAAAGGTCTGTCTAAATTTGTTTGTACTCTTCTAACTATTGAGTATATATACTTAATAGGTCTGGCCTTTTAGACTCGAGTCTAGTATCGACAGTAGTCTTGTGTCGACTGCACCCCTGTGAAAATAACAGTCTAGTATCGACGAGAGTTCTGTAAGAACTCTTGTCCTGCCAAGACTATAACCTATTGACAATAGAAATCAAAGGACAACTTCAGGTTAGTAATCCTTGACACATGGTCCGCTAACTGGTCTCAGACTTGATAACAAAGCCTCGGGCGTAACAGCTATGAAATAACCTAGTACTAATTTTAGTCTAGGATTCTAATCTGTATTAATTTTATATAATTCTATCCGGTAGAAGTAGTTACAGTCTTTGAGTGTATTATAAGGGTACCTATATCGCCAGGCGGAAAATCCTAAACAATTTACTATGGGCGGGCGGCCCTACTTTTAGGATACCAACCTTGGGATCAATACTACCTCTGGATTAGACCAGCAGAGCCGGCCCGCTGCCCATCCGAGCCCTGCCGCAACTCGGTCGAATAGGCTAACAGATGCGTGAATGAATTCTACTACTACTACTACTACTACTACTACTACTACTACTACTACTACTACTACCACCACCACTACTAATGCGCACCTCTGGTTCACTCACACCGAAGATATGCTGGAAGGCACGAACATGTTCTACCGCCCCGGAGGAAGACCAGCAATTAGTGCAATATATCTAACTTTGAACGGCTGCCACGTCCTCACAAATGCTCTAATTGGGGCATAAATGGTATTTTAATAATTTTCAGGATTGTTTCTTTTGGATGGTAAATTTTTCATTCCATTTAGCGAACTCTCTACGGGTAGGATTTGCCTTATAGAACCGTTTTTAATGTAGTGCGCTGCGTTGTTACGAGTACAAAGAAGAAGAGCGGAGCTTACTGTGGTTTTAAAATCGCTTCTAGGTTGGTGATCCTGAAATAAGTCATAAGGCGTGCCATTTGAGCTTTTCTGATTGGTTGAGTCCGATCAGGCGTCCAATGCTCATTTGTGCGAGCGAAAGACGTCATCCCGGAAATCATCATTCGCTATCTTCATAAACTTCACGACTTTCCATTTACTCCTGCTTCAGTGTGCATTAACTTGTGGGATTAAAACCAAACACCGGGAAGTATGAAAATCCTCATTGTGGGAGCAGGTCTTGGCGGCCTCGCGGCTGCGTACTGCTTTGCCAAGGATGGCCACCATGTTCAGGGAAGTAGACGACCCCTGGAATTTGATTTTATCTAAGAATAAACCTATACAGGTCTTTGAGAAGCGGGGAAATCTGTCGCCGAAGGGAAGTGGATTGATGATTCGCCCTGGCGCGTCTCGCATTCTTCAATCCTGGGGTCTTGGAGACGCCATTGAACAAGTTGCGGACACATGTCTCCCGTTCTCCATCCGAGACCTGAAGACCGGGAAGGATAAGATACGTACATTACCAACATCTCTCACCAAGTATCCAGATTGGGGCATCCATCGACCCATTCTACAGGATATTTTCTACCAACATGCTATGAAAGTTGGGGCCGAGATTACCTTCAACAGTGTCGTGGAAGACTTCTCAGATGAACCAAACGAAAGTCCAAGCTTACAATTTCGAGGCGGGAAAACAATAGCTGGCGATTTCATCCTCATTGCCGATGGGATTCGATCACGCTTGCGTGCTAAAGTTTTGTTTGACATATCCGCGGGCTGGCTAGTGGATCCGCAAGTCAACGACTCGGTATTCTATGGCGTAACAGTGCCACAGAAAGAACTACAATCAGATAGTGACGCCGTTGTCTTGCTACAGCAAGTCGAGCCATGTGTTTGGGCAGGTGATGAACGTTTTGTTGTTGGTCGAAAGCCCAGAAAAAGTGAGTTCTGGAGCGGATTGTTCGGCCTCAAACATGATGATGGCCAAGCCAGTATGTGGAACGAGGTATGTTTTTAGACCCATGCAATCAACCCGTTCTGATAAGCTGAAAACCGCCAAGGATGGGGATATCGTCTTTGTGAGGAAGCGTTTTGAGGGAATCTGCCCTTCACTTTCTGCGGTTCTCAAGTTGGCGACCAAGTGCGACAGATGGAAAATTGCCCAAATGCCAAATCTTCCTCGTTGGACGAGTAGGACTGGCAGAACCATCTTATTGGGTGACTCAGCCCATGCAATGGAGCCTAATGCAGCACAGGTTAGGCTCACGTCGAGGCTTTCGGGATTATTTGGACATATCCACAGCAAGAGTCTTACGCTAATTTTCTCTCGACAGGGGTTATCACAGATTATCGAGGATATTAGGGTATTGCAAATATTGCTTCTGTCACTTCCTGGCTTGGATGTCTCAGTGATAAGTAGATTCTGGGAAGATATCCGAAAGCCTCGAGTTGAACGCATCAAGTCCTATGCTGCTTGGAACACGCGAAGGTTTCTCGGGCACAAAGATCGTGCGGCCTCGCATCAGAAATATGCTGATGCCGATTGGGAGTCCATCAAAGATATTGAACCAGATTCTGCTGCGGATTTTACAAGTCCTGCATTTTTTAAGTGGGCTCACGACTATGATGCCGTTGAACAAGTGAGTTTGTGTCCCCTAGGCTCGAGTGCATTCCATGCCCGTAAAAAGGGGAAGAGAATATAAAGACGGTTAGCTATACGAAATCGCTAACAAGGAAACAGACCAGAAAATACTTACAGAAAATCAACAAAGCAAGCTCGAGACTGTAATGAGTTCCGGTGATATATGCTATTTGACAATGGATATAAAAACACAAAGCTTCATGGAACAGTACAGTTGACTTCCTGCTGCCGTTTTCGCCAGAGACAACAATGGTAACATGACTTGGGATTGAGAGCGTATGGCAAAAGAGGCCGATACTCTTGCCACGAGCGGTGATGCTAGATGTAACTTCCAGCTCCTCTGCATAGAACAGCCAAGTATCTGTGGAGAAATTGACTTTCTCGTCGATGATGTATTTCTCCGTGCTCAGGATAATCGTAGCCTTTTTGTTACTATGGTAGGCATAGTTATTGTTTGACAGAATGGAAGGCATAGTAAATGGGATTATAAGGGAAGAAGAGGAAACAGAAAGGGAAAAAAGGAGGAAAGGAGACTATTTTGAGGAACGGTTCGAGGCCTTTGAATGCCTTGAACAGTTGATATAGGCCTAATGTAGCGGCGGAGGACTCAGCTGTTTGCCTTGGGCGACGACTACCGCGCAGCCAACCAGGCGCCCTTACACCTAAGCTAAAAGGCAAGCGAGGCGAGCTGGAGAGTTGTTTCACATTCAAAAGGAAAAACGCAAAATACAAAAAAACCCATCGGTATCCATGTATGGGATAACGTAATTGTACATCCACTAAAGTTCGTATCAGGTGCCGGCGCCTGGGTCTTGCAAAGCTCTCCACTTAGTGGTTGACTTTTTTCAAGTTGCTGTGAGCGCCTTTGTTTGACACATTGAATAGGGTTGCGTAATGGTTTGCAGAGTGGTGAGAAAGACTCATGAAATCTCCTATCTATGGCTTCTGCAGGAAGCCTGCGCTGTATCACTATGCTGTCAATGCCCCCACCATGTAATTGACTTATGCTGTATAGAGGCAAATGTACCTGTATCTTGACCTTTTCACTACTTCTTCCTTGTGCTCTTTATTTTGTCCGTAGTCTAAACTACGATAGTTGTGCGAATGAATACGTCATTCTCGACAATGGCGTAAGATGAGGCTGCTTCTGTCTGAACCTGGACATTTATATCAGAAGCGGCTGTGCAAAACACTTCTACCAAGTGTATACTGGATACAGTGTCAAGAACGGTACCTCTGGAGAGAGAACGATATGATTTGCCGGTGTAGTGAGTTTGATTGTATGGAGTCAGAGTGGAGTGCAGAATGTATATCCGAATGTCCATGTATGTGGAGAGAGTGCCACGCAGCGATGAAATCATGAAGAGTCATCCTAGCTTCCTACGTTCGAGCCAGAATGAAGTGTCACATTATTATGTCTCAGTCATCCACAACCTCTCTGGGTATCTCGAGGTTTCATGGTAATAAAGTAGATCTCAGAAACATAAGGCGTCTCATATGTCATATATATTTATCTGCTACATCCCACCACCGGAATGGGCTAGCATGGGACTCAGCAATTCGAGATCTATGGATGAACTTCACTAGCCTGTATTAGATGAGGACCTGCTCGTCAAAGCTCTCATTCACCCATATATGTCATATTGTTATATCGAGACACATTGGACCACAAGAAGACTATGAGCAAGCCTCATACATACAGAATGAACAAGTCCTGCGTTCAGAAACAGAACGTTGCGTCAATGACAACTAAAAGCTCTGTGTACTGTGACACGGCCATATCCGCTATCGAATAGCTCACTCCTCATACTTCGAACATTCATCCCACGCAGCAAACAGAGGTCCCATCAGGCGACTATGTGTCTCATGCCCTTTCGCATACTCCTCTTTGCCCTCGCCCTTCCCATCATACCCAAAGCTCAAACCAAAATCACCAAGAAGATTATCGTACGTCGTCCCGGGTTTATCCCTGCAAAACCCATACATAACCTTCTTCCCCCTTTCCATAAAATCACCGCGGGGAAACGCCTTCACTATCGCCTTGTATTCATCGACTGTAAAATAGTCGCCTGGCAAGAGTGGCCCCACAAAGTCGGTCAAGCTACCCGAGTTCATGAGATGAACCTCGGACTGTTTGTGAATAGCGATAGACTGGGTGGTGTGCAGGGCAATTGAATCCCAGACCAGCTGAATTCGGTGCTTATCCCACTTCGTAGCCTCATCATGGTCCTGGAGGAAATAGCGGGCGGCGTTTGCACCGTCAATTTCAAACCGTTTATCCTTCGAGTACAAACCGGGTGTCTGGGACCATCCGGCCTCGTGAAGGATACAACCCAGCAAAACACTTTCCATGTCGAGAGTTAATCCGGCGAATGCGGGGGTGCTTTTTGCCGATGATCACGGCAAAGTAGGCGCAGCGGACGCAGTGGTTCACAGCATCATCGAACGTTTCCTTTCGCAGGAACTCGACTGAATCTTCCAGAACGGGAGTGCTGGGGAAGACGAGATCGATCTCGGGGAGGTCACGTAAGAATCTCTGGGACATATTGATGACAAGGTGTAGTCAATGCTCTTGTTTCTTGCTGTTGGCGCTGGTATATCAGTTTAGATGTGAAGATGAATCCTTATTGTAGATGTTATGTTTGGTGTTTATATAGTCCTGGGTCCGATGCAATTCCAGCCCATTTTGCGTATGGCTTCATACAACGAATCAATGGATTGTGGCGTTTAGTCATCTTGGCCAGACATCAAGAATCGTGAGATATTGGGCAGATCATTCCTGTTTCAGATGGTATAACCTGCAAGGGAGTTTGTGAATCGATCCCTATACAACACTTCCCCACCTTTAGGTCTTCAAGGGCCCTGTTCGAGATTCAAGCCTCTCGCGGTGCAACTATCGCAAGAGTAGCCGTCTGGGACTCGGTTCTCGGGGTCGGTTCTCGGGCATAATGAAACGAATTGCCGCCGAAGTGGACCAGGTTGGGCCTAAATCGAATACGCCATCTACGATTCTCTGACTGAGCAACATATGGACCAAGACTCGCAAAGATTCTGGTACTGAGAACATGTCTACAATCCTTGCCTTGTACATTATCCGGTACTACCTGAAAGTCAGCACGCAACACCCTTTACAAATCTCCTAGTGCGGTTTTTTTTTTTTTTTTTTGTAGCTCTCTTAGTAATACTAGAACGTGTATCATAGTCCTTTTTTTTTTTTTTTTTTTTTGCGGGATTTGCGGCTCGATAAGGAAATGGAGACAGTGCGCGCAGAAGGAAAATCCTCCGCTTATAATCAAATTGGCATCTTCTTACGAAGCAGAAGGCGACCTCGTCATAGCGCCCAGATGGACTTCCTGGAAAGACATGTTTTAACTGAACAAACGAATCCCATCACCTTTGAATTAGAAATCAATCGGCGAGTGGCTGATTAGTGAAAGCAGAAATATTATGAATACTTTGGAAATATACCTAAATCATTATCTGGTTCGACAGAGGTACTAGAGTACTTGTCTTAATCAAACAAGATATTGATGCTATCGATGCAGGACAGATTCTGGAACAACAAGAAATGATCCCATATCCACGACGTAACTGTCTAACTTGGTTTCTTTTTCGTCCGTATTTTATTGTGAATCTGGCTCTTCTTATCTTGTCACTTACTTCCAATCAGAAACGATGGTGCCATTAATCGAGAAAGTTGCTCTCGCTGATGTATGATGAAGCCCTGGCCCAACACCTTCCTTTGTCCCGATTCATTGATTGCCTTTGCGGTGACGGCCAGCACCCTCGATAGCCCTTCGTCGAAGTCACTAATGGGTTATGTCGCGACGATGCGAAACCAGCCGGGGTCTTCGGTCCAATATCACTAATTTTAATTTTTAACAGAAATCTAGAGACGATTCCTAAAGTTATGTGAGAACCATTTTCTGGCTACTAGATGGATGCCCTTTTAAATTCAGTATAGATTTTACCGGTTGGACTTAGTGACGATTGGTGTTTGTGCCATATATTTGCCCTGTAGACGAATCCGCGCCGCCTCTCCCCCGATGTTGCGGTTCCATTTCTCTATGGATTATGCTCGTGCTTCTCGACAGCGCTCTCCGAGACCAACAACTGGGGTGGCGGCATTATGTCACAGATTTCAGTGCTTAATCATCTCCAGCAGATAATCAAGCTGGAATACCACTTCCCGCCCTTGGGCCTCCAGCTCCAGATACCCAGGCGCACTCTGCTCGATGATCTGGGCCCACACGTCCCGATTACCACGGGAACAGTAGGCCGAATGGAGAAACTGGTTGCTCTGTCGGGTGGGCTCAAAGAACTCGAGGATCGGAACGCCCATATCCAAGCTACCGTTTGTTATCAGAGAAAAGTTGTGACCCTACACAGACCAAGAACGTTACGGGGAAAACATACGGTTTATTATACTGTGGCGGTCCCCCGATGGATGAGTCCACAAATCAGACACTAACCGACCCATCTGCATGAAACCCATAACTTGGCCTATATTCCACGGCCGGCGGGAGGCAGAAGCACGGACACTTCCATTGGAGCGAAAGGTTACAATAGTGATCCGCCCGGTGGCCAGACCGGGTGGATCGACCACGAACCACGCGTGGCCCGGCACGTCGAACACCGCCGTGCCATGCCGGGTCATGACAAGCCCGTTGAAATCTACGGCGGCGAGGTACAGCGCGGGTAGAATCTCAGGGTGATAGTCGTAGAAGAAGAAGCCAGGAACTCCGGGATATGGTAGCGAAGGGCCTTGCCTGCCTCTAACCCTTCGAAGGGGTGCACCCCGAGCCATTCATCTTGGTAAATATAGAGGAGGATCAAGAGTTTCACCAGGTGCACATAGTTGCGAGGATGGGTGTGCCTATCGACTGGTGGTAGGCATAGGAAGCGTTTGTCTGGCCTTGGCGGTGAAGAAACTATAGGTAGCTGGATAAGCGAGAGCTGATGCGCAGGCCGGCCACTCTTTCGCCTCTTCCGCGAGCTCTTCCCGAGATAAGTCTGTCGCATGCAGGCGGTCCTCAGGATTGCCGGGCCAAAAGGCTGGTGAGATTGATCGTGACATTATCTTTTTTTTCTTCATTAAATCCCTGTTGTCTCGTTGCTATGGCGGGGTGGGAATCGATTGCAAGAGTTTATAAGGGGAGAGGAATCTGTCTATGGGAGAGAGATCCTTGGGGCAGACCCCTGAGAGGGACTATTGGTGGCTGCTCTCATCTAACGTGATCGGGAAAGGCTGTACTATCGGAGATTACAAGGGTTCTTTTTAAGGTGGGTCCTCACCTACTTTTATGTACTCGCTTGTCCTCCAGTGCATTGAAGTACTACCAGTACGTCGGTCCGCTGGCCCTAAATGTCCTCAATTACATCCGCCATAGGAACTATCGCAGATGGCCGATGGGCAGTAATCATCGGTGGCTCCACTGTCATCTCGGTTAGTCTATCCTCTTCCTCAGATGCCTCCACGGTCAAGTAATTATCAGGGCCTATAGATACTACAACAGGATCCAAACTGCGAGCCGAAGCACGTATATCCGCTATTGTCGGCACGTAATTCTCTATACTCAGATGTAGCGATAAATGTTACAATAGTACAATAGTATGCTTCGCCTCACGGAGTAGATTTTGTCTACACCAAGTGAAATTGATATCACTATGGCGAAATATGATATGACAAAAGAAGATGAAGCGACATTAGTTGTACGTAGAAACATGGGACCTTCATATACTCCTCCGGAAGAACCGGACAAGACGATAAGTAACTTCTCTGATGTTGAATTGACCGAGCGGGGTGAAAAACTGTGAGATGCGCTATACGTAATTTGCGCATTGCTTCATCTAAGCCATAAGAAGGGAAGGCTTTCGACTGTACCAGTCATAGGGACAATATGGTTACCGTCTGGATTAATACCTAATGGAAGGCGGCTCCAGACTTCGCTCCTGGACAGAGGCAAAGTGCTTCTTAAAAGCTTTTCAGAAGCTCTGTCGTTCTCAGATATTTCAGGCTTGACGAAACAGATTTGAAACTGCTGTGATAGGAAACAGAGTAAATGGTCACCTACATTGAACAGTGCCTATGAGAAATGTTTTGAGGTAAACCTCGGTCTGGCTTGCGGGGAAGGCCGGTTGGAGCCTCCAGTTGTTCTTGTTTACCAACCCTGGGTAAAGGATATACAAGATCAAGGACATTATCGTAAAAGGTATCAAGACATTCACGGGGGAAAATATTGTTTAGGTATTTTCAGGACATTGCATAAGCCTTGGCCGTTACTAGTATACTGACTCGAAAGCTTAAAGAGTATACTCTAGACCACAGTTAAGTTGTATGTCAAGATCAGTAGTATATATAGATGATCCCACCGATCCCAGTTGTCCAACCGACAATCATATCCAGGCCCATAGATCTGAGAAAGGTAGGATCAAGCCTGTTATATATCTGCCCTATTCCAACTGAATCGGAACGAGGTACAAGACTAATGTAAGAGGGCCTTCCATACATGGTACTGCGTAGACCGTAGCCCGAGCCTTTAGCAGTAGTTACAGAAACGCGTCCTAGTCTCATTTTGGCGATGCTTTCCATTGACAGGATAGACAAATCGAACGTTGGGTAGTTCCGTGACGAGAAATTATCCCCAGTGTAACCCCAGTACTACACTTACTGTACTTGTCTGCTACTCATCTTTGCGCACTCTGGACAAGCAACCTAAAGTTCAAGATGCAGGAACTAGATACTGCAGCCTTTGATTGCCTACCCCGTAAGGAGAATATGTCTGGTGGAGCTCTTGAGAGAAGCTGGAAACCCCAGTGCCGATGTAGGATGTGACCTTGCCTGGGGCTTCTGCCATTTTGACGGGCGCCTATCCGCCCGGCATGCATTGCGAGACGAACCACCCCATCATTTCGACCTTGTCTCACACCCCTTTCACGGATTTCCCGTCTTGGGCCCTTTTGTATTCTTTAGCTGACTAGCTCGGTGTTCAATCCAAAGCATGTGTTCCATGTGACCTCCCGAGGCGACTATGCCGATGCTTAGATCATGCAGAATGATGTTTGGGAGAACCTGTTCACGTTTTGCGATTTGATGCCACGCTCCTTCACTGGTCCTCTAACGAACTTATAATCTAAGTGCACGACGACCATCCTAAGAGACATGAGCCGAGCACAAACCCTAAATGGAACTGCGTCTGGCATCAGTGCCCAGCTCATGACTAGTTGACTTGCTATCAAGTAAGGACCGGGGAGAAGCATTGGACCAGGACTTGAACTTTGCGATGTGTCTCTCCGCAGACATCTCAACCTCGATCCCCTGATTCTGCAGATCATTCATGCACTGTTGCGCTTGTTCTTCTATGTCCTGGATGTGCTTCTGTGCTTCTTCTTTCATTTCCTTCATACATTCATTGGCTATCGTGCGTATCTCGGAGTTACCATCGTCGACCTGCTCGCGAAATTCGGCTTCGTTCATTTTGCATTCATCGAAGAACTGATCACGAGACTTGCTCACAGCACTATCGACAATCTCATCGACAATAGGTGATATGTGGCGCTTAATTATCTGATCGATATATCGTTCCAGGTGGCGGTGTTTGATCAGCTCGCCCTTGGCAAAGCTGACTTTGGCCGACTCAGATGGCAGGTCACTGTCTACATCATTTGGTATGGCTAGCAGATGGGCGTGTCGGGATCCAACTAATACTTTGCGAACCTGGTCATCTGACAAACTACTGAACTCATGTACAAGACGCGCAAGTCTGTTACGCTCTGTGTGGCCAGGAGAGAAGGCATGCGTGAAGTACGTTTGGGGGATTGATGGGGACAGGCGGAGAGTACTTGGCGTATCGGGCTCGGTGGGAGAGCCGATCGATTGAGGGGATGAAAGGAGTGTTCTCTTTCGTGTTTTATTGTCCAGTGGCATTGAATCTAGGTATTACGAATGAGCTATTGAATGCCAGAGTACATAAGACGGTAACAAGATGAGACGATACCTCTACGCCGTTTTCTAACCATCTGCTCGGACACGGGCTCCTCACAATATGGGGGTAGACCCCCCTGCTTCACCTGTTCGGACACGGGTTCCTGGCAATATGGGGGTGGATCGGGCGATAAACAGAAGACATGCCAATCTCTCAGGACCATGCGATGGCGGGCGTGGTCAAAAGGCTCTGCCTCAAGACTTCTTTCTCGCAGGGCCCGGGAGAAACGTTCGAGCTTAGTAAGTTCGTTATTCACACATTGTTGTCTGGCAAAGTGTATACGGAGAGATTCGGATCGGCAGATCTTTGCAAATGAGTGGAAATTTAAGTCTCCTGGTGTGGCTGGGCTTAGAGACTCCGTCTCAGATGGACAAAAAACAATGCCGATCGTACTCAGTGCCAAATTCAGTGTTGAGACGGCCGAAACATTGGTGACAGGCACCGGGATCGTGGGAATCAAACCAGGTGAACAGAGGCCGTCGTTGCTACTCTTGTGTAATGTACATTTTTCGACTCTTCCTGGGGGAATATTCAACCTCACCTGTGATCTGATGCGTGGGTTAGCGAGATCTGCCGTAATCGAAAGGGTGATGGATCCCCGGTCGGCAGTTTCATCGTGGAAAATACGAAGGCTAGCCCGACAAGACACATCGAAATCGGGTGTATAAACAATAACTGCCTTTTTCAATACCCAGGGCCGGTTTTGCGATCTAGTGGTCATTGTACTCTTGCAAGCATTCGTTGGGTTAAAAAGCAGAACCCTCGATGAATCGAGTAACCCTCCCACCCGGGCTTTGGAGCAAAGTTGAGCAGCCCTGACTCGGGTAATATGTCGGATCCAGAATGATAATAACAAGAAGATGAGAGTAAAGTGGGTACAAGCTCTTGCGGCCTGGTCACGAGCACGTGCCCAATCCGAAGTCAACGAGTGAAATCGGAGAGTCCTATGAAAACACAGGAATGGCAGGGCCGGCGGCGAGAACGGCAAAGAGCAAATACTTCCTTTACGGGGTGATGGTGACGGTGATGATGATGTCGCAGGGAGGACGAAGAAGGAAGAAATGGCCAGCGCGAATGGAAGGAGGACGCGGCTGGGGGTTTGTCGCGTTTGGCAGGTGGACCACGTGATGGGGGCATATCGGGCGGGATCCGGATTTACGTATGTCCGTTCCATCCACACCCCATCAAAACACCATCCATCATTCAGAGCTGCACGGAGTGCATCCCATCTCCTGTCCGGTCGGCTGCATCTGCAAGGCCCACGATGTTGAAACTAGGGAGTATTGACAGTCGAGTTAGAAAATAAACGCTTACTAGTATCTTTTTTGGCGGAAGTGGCCGTAATAGCGCTGTTGCTCCGCGAGAACGTAATCAAAACAACTTGGTCTGACTGTGTCGTGTAAGTCAAGATCCTGCTTATAAAAACTCTACATAGATCTATTTCATGGTCATTCTAAAGACATTCTACCTCTCATTTCTTTTCTTCTTACGATACATAAGAGAACAGAGGATGTGTAGCATGCATGTCCATGTTGTGGGGGGCGGATTCATAATTCGAGACTGCCAGTATACCGTACTTGATCACCTGACGCACGTCCCCACCTGCTGCACGGATTTCTATATACACCGACTTTTTGGCTTCAACTTCAAACCATCACAACTCCGTCAATATAGGTTCAATTAATGAGGCGCTTGCTTTTTTAAAATCCCTAGATCCAGGAGAATTATTTAAATATACAGGAGTAGTCAAAAGATTCAGTATTGATTGTATAACACTCTCAAGATATCACCGGGATGTTATACATTCAAAAGAGAATTAATATAAAAACCAGCGATTACTCAACAGCCAGCAAGCCAAAACTCTTATAAATTATATTAATAAACTCTCTGAGAGAGGCCTATATCCTATCTCTGAGATACT